TGAGAACTTGCTGTATTATCTCTAAAAGCTGTGGAATTTTTTGGCTGCCAAAAGACAGTAAAGTGAACAAGATTTCAACATGTATCCAAAGTTTAACTTCAGCCATTTTTCTAAAGACATTAAAATGTATATTTTTATTCATCATCTTTATTTGGCATTTTTAGCCAAACTCTCTTCCTATTAACACCTTACATCCTTCTGGCATCTGATACTTTTCCCTTTGAGCTCACCATTCCCTTTGCCTTCCCAATAGGCCAGAAAGATATTAAATAAAATAGTTTAACTTATAGCCATAGAAAATCTAGTGTCATTTCTTTATCAATATTTTTTTTGAGGAGAGAGATGGAAATATTTATGCTTTTCTACTACTTTTTCATAAATGTGCTAAACGGCTTCTGAGCAATTGTTAAATCTAATACAAATATGAAATAAATAGTATATGTTAGTAGAGAATAACAGATTTCAAAGATCATAAGATGTTTATTATTGGTTTAAACTAAAGTAGTCCTTAATTAAAATTTGTAATACACAAGGGCATGTGAGTGCAGGGAAAGGGGAATCCCAAGCTGAGAATCTGGCTAAGCAGTGAATTCATGGACTGTATTGATAAATGAAAAATAAGGTAAATCAGCATTAGACAAAGAGAGAATATTGGCTCTGAAATGCAGTTGAACGTATTAAAGTCTCTGAATAAGATTCTCTGGAGTAGTACCTAATAAGGTATCTTCTTGTTCACAATGCTTCCCTCTCTGCCTACTGGCCATATACTTGAGTTGTCAAGGGGTGGATATCTGACCCAAGATAGGCCAAAAAATTGTTTAACCCTTGGAATGTTAAATTTGAACTATGAGACATAGAGAAAATTTTCTGGCACTTAGACCTGGTAACAGTGGAACTCTAGAAAAATGATCAAGGAATTTCTACATCCATGATCCCAGAAGCTGTCCTGTTCCTGCATCTCATCAGTTTTGGTTTTCAACTCTATCTTAGATTACATGAACTAGTCCAGTATTTTTCCAACAAAGTCTTTTGCTTAAGTTAGTCTTGAACTGGCTTTAGTGTTGCTTATGAGCAAAAAAATTGTATAATGCTTTGAGGTCAATTTCATCTCTCATTTTGATTCTTATTCAAATATGCCAAGTATTTTGTTAGTCAAAGTAGGTAGAGTGGTGAATGAGATGAACATGATTTCTGCCTGGAGCTTTCAGTCTAGCAAGTAAAACAGATAAAGTAAAGTATGGAAATGAAAGAATTTTATTCATTTATTGAACAAATATTTATTGATCATCTGTTTATATACAAGGCACTGATGTAGGCCCTTCGAACATCAGTAAAGCAAACAAAGATTCCTGCCCTTGTATCTTTTATCAGAGGATGAAAATAATAAGTAATAAACATAGAAATGCATAAATGAGTAATATGCACTTAGAAGGTGGTAAGTGCTATGGGAAATAATTAAAAAATAGATCAGAGGGAATGGTATATCAAATGGCATAGAGGCTTGAAAAAAATGGAAGGTTAGAGAAGCTGGAAAATTATTACAGCTGAAATATCAGTGACAAGGCCAGTACCTCAAAATGAGAATGAAGAGGTTAACCAAGCTAGATTAAGGACTCTACAAGTCATTTTGAAAATTTTGAACTTTTTCCTAAGGCAATCCAAAGCTACTTAAGAGATTTAAGCTATAGACTGACATAATCAGATTTGTATTTTAAATTTATTGTTCTGCCTACAACCTGGAAAACACTTTGAAAGTTAACAGCAGTGGATAGGAGAGAATAATTAGGAGGCTCCTGTCCTGGTCTGAGAAAAGATTGTGCCCTTGACTACAGTGTGTTTTTTGAATTGGAAAATGGTAGTTGTGAGAAAATGGCTGTTATCTAGACTTAGATTTTCAGCTTTTTTTATTTAGAATAAATTAATGCCTGTCCATCTTTATCTTCTGTTCTTTGGGCTTTGGTACTATATATAGCCAATTTGAAATGTTTACATTTTTTCATTGGCTTCATATCTGCCAAGTGTAATTATGCTTCATATATATGATCAAAAATATCGTATGTGAGTATTTAAGGCGCCATGGCAACTAAAGGATACACATTCATTCTCCTCACCTGGATCTGTATCTAGCCAACCACATATTACCATCCTCAAGTTCTGAGAGAACCAACACAGGGTACAAGCAAACCAGGTGTACACCACTTTATTAAGAGTCTTTTCCCTAAACCCTTGTATTTTTTTTTTTCTCTCTCTCTCAGTAAGATAGCGTGGATGATTTAGGAGAAAACCACATCTGTCTTTTCCACTCCACTACTAAGTCTAGATTAAGCCTTACATACTGGTAAGCAATGGGCCATTTGGCTTTCATATTTTGTTAAGACATTTTGTTATGCTCACATAGTATTTTTAAAAGGTGGTGATACTAGACAGGTGTTATTCTTCATTGCTGCACAAGCAATTTGGTACTTAACCAGTTACATGGGTATATGTTAAGGGTAATGCCCCCTTGTTATTATTTGAATATTTAATTTCTAACTTAGATACTAATCCCACCCTAAGCAATCAGTTCCTTACTTGCTTTAACCTCGGTCTAGTTTAGGCTCTCTCAGTTCTAAAAATATACACAGAAATTACATTTAATCTTCAACTCCATTGCTCAGGTCTTGCCAGTCCTAAATGTAATAAGAAAAGGAAAAAAGAGACTCTTTAATTCTCTTGTCCTCTCCAAAAATTTCCTCTCTCATTCTTGAGGAAGTGAGAAAAGAAGAGTGCCAAATATTTTCTGTGATTTTGGGTTATAGTTCCCTGTAACCCAATTGAGTGTCCTTGGTTTTTGAGAAACCTGCCTTTCCTAAGGAGGCTGGAAGGAGTGGGGTGGGGTGGTCAAGTGGAGCTTAAGAAGGACATGGTTTTTAACTGTTCCCATGGCAATCAATATCTTGTTATAAAAATGTATTTTTTAAACATGGGTTTCCATCTTATATCATTTTGTCTTGGAGCTTTTCCCTGATGAATAACTTTGCATCTTGTTTGAAGTGAACCATTTTAAAATTTATATCTTGTCCTACTTTTATTTCAAGACTTTACTTAAAATATCTTTATTTTCTCTTTGCTCTGCTCAGATATGCATGAACATTTTATGCATTTCACACTCTTTAAGATGGAGAACATAATATGCTAATCTGAGCAGTGGTAAAATCAGAGTCAGATTTTATTCTCAAAAGAGTGGACAGTGGTTTATCTTCCTATTGCTATCCATTCTTGCCATTGCTAATGTAACCATAGTGCAAAAGTCATGGATTAGTGAAACAAGAGACTAGAACATGAATTTGGGAGTATTCTCAGTCTGATGGAGCCCAGTACAGTGGGTGTTTGCTCCTTGAGAGCAAGTAACTTGTTATAACTCCCTTTTGTATCCAGTACTTCACTCAAGGTGTCAAGCACACATATAATAGTTACTTGACACATGCTTAGATTGATAAATTGAAATTGAGAATAAATACTATTGCTACATCTAATATTGTACTTAATTTTACTACAGATCACCCCAGGGATGGCCAAAGAAGAGATTTTGACCCAGAATTGAGTGCTGGGTTGAGCTACTCTGAGGCTGGTGTGTGGAGACACCCCAGGAAGGTCAAAGTTCAGGAAGGGAGGTGCTGAAGAGCAGACTAGGAAGATGGTCCTCAAATTTGAGTATGCATCAAAATCACCTGATTTGGGGGCTTCATGAAGTACAAGATGCTTGGCCTCATTTCCAGGGAATTTCTGATTCAGTAGATTTGGGATGAGAACTGAAAATTTGCATTTCTAACCATCTCCCTCCCAGGTGATGCTGCTGCTGCTGACCCAGGTAGCACACTTTGAAAACTATTAAATTAGAAATTGGAGAGTTGGTGCAGCTCAGGGGATCTGAGCAGGCTGCTTGCTCTGTGATCTGCACAGAGAGGGGTAATTTCAGAGATTTCTGAAAGCAGTACTGAGATAATGTAAGTGGACATCAGATAGTTTTTAAGGGTCTTGCTTCCTACTGATCTGTGGGACTGATGACTATAATCTGGCAGGAAAAGGAGAGAATGGCTTCAAGAACTTAGACAAAAATTCAAATTGGCTGACATAAATGAGGTGTAAGATAAAATGCATGAAATCGACTTAGTAATAATTTCAGTTAAATTAACCTAATTTAGCAATGTAAGATCATATACATATATCTAAGCTAATTTATGTGTACCTTTTTCCCTAAAATATCCTTATACTGCAAAGAAAGATTATGTTCTTTAGAAGACTGTGCATTTATCAAGGTAAAATCAGGAAGCTGGAGAAAGGGCAGCCCAGAAAGAGGGGGAAAGCCCATTCACCCAAGAGAAATTATTTAGAAGAAATCACATCCACTCTCCACCTCCAACCCTTCCTACTCAGTTAATGCTATCTCCCAGGTAAATAGCTTAGGAAGTGCCTGAAAAAATGGAGGCTTCAGCAACCAGGTAGCATGGGGACACATTTCACTTTATTGCAATATTGAAATGGAAACTAGGTAAAATTCAGAGGTGATGTCATATGCTTTGTTGTGCTCAGATAATTAGGTTTCTTAAATTTTAAAACTTGAGTATAAAGTCCTTATATACTCTTTTGTGTTTGTTTCGGATGAGTTTTATATGATGAAGTAGTCATTTAGGACTTCAGGGGAATTGGCATCTATTTTCTTCACAGATTTTCATGGATTTTCTCAGTTTGCCAACAAAAAGGAATACTGATATTACATTAAAATGAAGTATGTCTAAAAAAATTGAAACGTCTTGGTAACCAAATGGTCAAATACTCATATTTAATTTAATTTGATTTTTTGTTAATTTAAAATAGAAAAAGAAAATCTGCTTTGGGATCCTTTCAAGGGAAAGCTCAGCTCATGTATAAAAAGCCACATAAAAATGACTCTGGAGACCTTGGCTACACATTCAGCGGTCAAATATTTCAATGCTCCATTGCTCCGGTTCCTGTTACAGGTACATGTGACAGCGCTGCAGCTATGAGTGGAATTTTAAAGAGGAAGTTTGAAGAAGTTGATGGCTCCTCACCCTGCTCATCTGTGCGGGAATCAGATGATGAAGTTTCCAGCAGTGAAAGTGCTGACAGTGGGGACAGTGTCAATCCATCCACTTCTAATCATTTCACTCGTGAGTACTGAAATCATACCTGAAGCTGCTTGTCTGGCTCTACAGCAAAAATAATGGTGTCATCTTGGCCATTTTTATTTTCACCTTTATTGCTAGTTATGTTTTTAAAAAGTTTTTTCCAATCGATCAAATCCAAGGAACAATTAACTAAAAGTAAAATATTTCTGAGGCAACTCAGTGGATTCCTTTAATTAGATTAGTGTCGGCAGTGAATGATTTGATTGTGTTAACCAACTGATTCAATGAGAAATGGCATTTTATTATTATTGTTGCTTTTCCAAGGAAGCACCTCGTGGTCTAGGAATAGATGAGGAACGACAGAGTAAATTCAGGTTAAAAAAAAAAAAATGTATCGTTCCATGACAAAAAACATTGTTGTGGAAGAAAAGATAAAAAGCTGTAATCAGGAGCCGAAGGTCTAGGTCTAGGTTACAATGAGAAGGAGTTTAGGCAGCCATGCATTAAGAAGAGATGAAGGCACCAAAACTCTCCTAAATATGCAAGTGTGTGCAGTCTAATGCCTCTTCCCTGCTTATCCCTTTATTCTCTCTCTCCCCAAGGATAATATTTAAAACCCACCAAGAAAAAAAAATGTATGCTTTCTCTTTGATTCCTTTTTTTCCATACTGTAACAATCACCCCTGCTTGTCACACAAGGTACTGTGCGGTTTAAAAGACTGATGTGAAAAATTCTTAATGTAATGCAATCTATAAGGTAAACAAAATTGACTGGTAACGGCTAAATAATATTTTTGAATTTATGTTTCTTAAAGAGGAAGATGTTAACATGTCACACTATTATGATAGATAGCTGGTCTTAGTTTTTGGTTTTCCAATTAGCTGATTTTATTAAAGCATGATTCTATAATATAGAATTTATTTTGGAAATGTGGCAACCTGAAAAACCAAATGATTCAAACATACTTTTAAGAGGTAATAAGAAACTCAATAACTGTTGAACGTGAAATAAATGTATTAAAATCAACAGCATTCTTTTAAGTAAGCACAACTAACTAACTAGAAAATAGGATGAAAGGACAATTACAGTTATTATAGCAGAAATATTCATAAAGTATTCAAGAACAAAGTTACTGTGTGATGTAGGTGATCTATACATACATTTAAGTATATCATGCTGATATGAAATGAGTTTATGCTTTTGATTCAGAAGAAAATATATGTTTGCTTTTTTGGTCAAATACTAGTAGTTATAATTACAACATCATCATCTAACAGGTCTTTGTGAAAATCAAATAGAGCAAGTAAGATAATACTCATGAAAGAACTTTGTAAAATGTCAAGTACTACTCACATGTTATGTTAAAATTTATGACATAGCTAGCATTTATTAGACACATGCTATGCTCCAATAGCTTTATGTACCTTATCCCTACCCTTTACAGCAATCTGAAAGTAAGTAGCCCCACTTCCAATTTACAAAGGAAATAACTGAGGCTCAGGGAGGCTAAGCATTTTACCCAAGATCACGTATGAATGTAGATATATAGACATGTCCCACTCCATAGTCTGTACCTTTTCCGTTATCTCATTCTTCCTCTTAATTATATAATAATGGACATGTCCTTCTAGTGAGTTATAAAAGAAGACTTGAATTAGTGAAGAGGCAGATTATGTTTCTGGATATGAAGATAAAGCTATTAATGCTTTCTATTGATTTATAAATATAACAGTACAGTCTCAATAAAATCCTCAACTGAATTTTCATAAAAGGTGATAAAATGATAAGGATCTATTTGGAGAATGAGCTAATGGAAATAAGGGGATATTTTTAAAAAGAAGCCATAAATGTTGAAAAGCCATTCCAGATATCAAATTATAATAGAAAACAATATAATTGATGGGGTTTCTTTTGTACCGTGGTCTATCTAAGCATAGAAAAATGCTCAAGGACAGCAAAGAAAATCCCAACATGTTAAATACAAGAGTTTAATATATATAAGAAAATAAGCATTATAGAATATTGAGAAGGAAGGATTATTTAATAAATAGTTGTGGTACTAGCAAATTTGAAAAAGAAGTAATTTAGAGTCACATCTCATGACATAGGTCAAAATACAATCCAGATGAATTAAATAGATACATTTTCTTAAAAAGAAATCATGAAGGAAGTTGCATATTTGTCAGATATTTGGTAGAATCGTTCTATGGAATGATAATAAGTAATAGGGAAAAAATTACATTAGAAAATACTTAACATATTCAATGATGTAAAAATATTAAACTTACCTGCTACAAAAAAATAAAGCCCAAAGGAAAAAAAAAGCAATTTATATTGAAAAAAATTGTAGTTAATATGCTCTAGGGCTATTTTCTAGAAAAAGTATAAAACAACACATGTAAATTTTTGAGATAAACACTAAGTCACACCTCCCCAAAGATAATCTACATAGGAGGAAATATAATTAGCAACTATTCTAAGGCATTTAACAACAATCGTAATAAAAATGCAGATTAAAACAATACTAATGAGATTTTATTAGTATGAAGTTGTGACGATTTCATCCCTGTGAAATTAGTACTCTTCCCTCCAATAAAAAACATTAATACCTAAGTGCTGGCAAAGGTTGCAGTACAAATCATAGGTACACATGTGGTTATAATGGCAGTAAATGTAAAAAGCACTTTGGCAATATAAGAGCCATAAAAATATTATACGTCTGTACTTCCGAGAATTTATCTGAAGAAAGAAACATCAAAAACAAGGAGATAACTGTATAAATGAAAATGGTGGTGGTTCATGGTAGTTCCAAAAAATTGGGATGGTAGGAAGAGGGAGGGAGAAGGTAACACATCAAAGAGAGGGGAGATGATTTGTTAGGTTATGGTAACTCATTCAGTTATTTTCATGGTAGTTATGAAGACTTTATGACCATATGTAAAATGCTTATAAGTTAACGTTGAGTAGGAAAAGCAGAACGCAAAATTTTAGCTATACTGTCAGGCGACATCCATGCATGTGCAAAGGCAAGGAATGGTGGGATGTCCCCAAAACAGAGGACAATGTGATTTGTTTGAGGGATTAGTATGATGGATGAATTTTCATATTTATTAATTTTTATTTCTGTTAATATGATGTCTGTTCTTACAACAAATAAGTTTCAAATTTAGACAGCTAAAATGATGGTTATACTTCACCTTGTGGTTATGTATGCAAACAGCAGATGGAAATGGCCTGATGATTTAAATTATGTAATATATCAGCCAACTAATAAAGACTTTTCTATGAGTTATATTCAGCGGAGATTATTCTTCCCATTGAAGAAAATAGACTTATTTTATGATGTCTAAGAAATTATTGAAATGTTTCAGCTTGTCAATTAATATCAGTGGTAGTGACAATGGTTAGTTAACTAAAATACTGATTTAACATTGAATTTAAAAGAATCTGGCAGAGATTTTTCATGATTTTTAAAGATAATTAATGATTTAATAAAAAATTCCCTTTTTATTTTATAGTCTGCTTTGTTCACTATATTCACATTATGGAGAGAGAGAGAAAGTGGGAGCAATAATAAAAAATCAAAAAGACAAAAATTCTACCTAGAATATTTGCTGTGTAAAAGATCTGAGCATTTTAACTAATGTGAGAGAAGTAATTAAAAAGGTTTCTTGTTTCTAGAAACATATATCAGATTATTTTCTCTTCCAAAAACTGATATACAAATTTTTAGAAAATGTTTTATTTATTATTTCAACTGGATGAAGGTATGGGTTTATCTGCAGTGGTCTTATCAGATGTGAGTCTGTGGTCATAAACTTTCAGAAATGTTATTATTGATAAATCCTTTTTCTTTAATCTTTTTTTCTACTTTCAAAAATAAAAATGATTACCTGCCTCAGAGTAAAGAAGGATTTTCGAAAACTATCAAATTTGGGTAGCATTAGAAAACAATTTAGTTTCACATCGATATTCTTTAAAATGTAGTTGCTCTTATTTAAATCTCACTCATTATAGGTTCATCTTTCAAATTTAAAATATCTCATGTATCCATTGCTTTATAGGCACTAACATATTGTATAAAACAAAATTTTGTCATTACAAGTATAGAAATTAATAAGATGTTTGGTGCATGTCAACAGCTATGGTAGTAGAAAATTCCATGCTATTCTAAGCTTTCTGTTAAAATATTCAAAATATTTGTAGCATACCACATTATGATAATAAAAGCTTCCAACTATAAATCAGTAATGGAATTATGGCTTTTTCCTTGGACTTCTGAATTTTGCTAGGCAACTAGTATACAACCAAGTCATGTCTTATACATCCCTTGAGATAGAAGCAGCAGACTCTGTATTGCTGTGGAATGCTTTGTTTCATCAAATCCCTCAAATCCCTATGGCTCTATAGCCAATCAGCTTGTACTCAGCACTGTCAAAAGGAGTGCTACAGTGAAACTGGGGAGAAATGTTTTTTTTTTAAATTTTTTTTCCCTGCCCTCTCAAGGTTCTTGGTAATTCACATAAGTAATGAGAAGCTGTGTGAGGAAACAGGGTTTCAAAAGGGACACATTATTTTTCCTGAAATAGAGTGTTTCTACAAATAAATGTATAGTATTTAGGAAATGAATATATCGAGAGGTAAAAGGATTGACATTCTAAACTCACATGAAAGCAGGTAGTGGGTGTCTAACATAGGATTGAGATTTTCTAATTTGCAAAACACTTTCATGTTCTTGAGTTCTTTCAATATCTAAAAATTTTTGTGTAGTTAGGAGCCATTATTATACACATTTTATAAAAATAGAAATGGGGGGCTGGCTGATTAGGGCCATTGGTTAGAGTCTGGTGTTATAACACCAAGGCGAAGGGTTCAGATCTTCAAACCTGTTAGCTGTGCCCCACCCAAAATAAGTTTATGGTAAAGTAGCAATGAACATTCATAGATGTATTTATTATTTATCCAAAAGCTAAAATTAGAATCTGTGTTTTTCTCCCTCTGTCCCTCCTTCCTTCCCCTCCTTTCATCCCTTCTTTCCTTC